TCTGCTTAACACCCTGCGCTCATCAAGTGGGAATCTATCAATGAGAAAATAATCGTTGCCAGATTCAGAACACGGGTCCGAAACCTTACCATAATCCAATGTTATGCGCCAACCGATGCGGCCGAATTGCAGGACAAAGAGAACTTTTACAGTCAACTGAATGCTGTCGTGGATAAGACTGCAGAAGGTGATATCAAGATCTACACAGACGACTTCAATGCGAAGATCGGCTCCGACAACTCGGACTATGAGCGCATTATGGGACGCCGTGGTCTCGGAGATATCAGCGAGAACGGCGAGCTGCTTGCAGAGTTTGATGCCAACAACGACATGGTGATCGGGGGTTCGCTCTTCCCCCATCGCCCAGTGCATAAAGTCACATGGGTCTCCCGTGATGGATATACACATCTGCATCAGCCGAAAATGGATACGAAGCCTTCTTGATGTTCGGAATAAACGCAGCGCTGACATCGCGTCTGACCATCATCTCCTGGTCGGTGAGATCCGCCTACGCATGCGGGAAGAGAGACTCGGGCGGCAATTCAACACACGCCGACTGGAAGACCCAGCAGTGAAGCGTTCGTTGAATAACTCGAGGCTTGCGCAGCTAATATTCCGGAAGGTGGCAGCGTAGAAGAACAGTGGACGAGCATCAAGAATGCCTTTATTGAAACAAGCGAGAACAACCTGGGTGAGCTGCACACTCAGAGGAAGGAGTGGATCGCCGATGAAACCTGGAGGAATATCGAGGAGCGGAGAGAAGCAAAAGCCGCGATAGAGCGAGCAAGGACCCGAGGACCCAAGAACGAGGCCTGTCAGTGGTATTCGGCTCTAGAGAGGGAAGTTAAGCGTTCCTGTATACGGGACAAGCGAGCGTGGGTGGTTGGCTGATGAAGGGGAGAAAACCGCAGCAACTGGTGTTATCTGCCCCTCTCTATGATGTTTCACGACGCCTGTGCGGGGCAAGGATGAACCTAAGGATGCCTGTGAAAGACGCGACTGGACAGTTGCTCACCGAACACACTGACCAGTTTAAAGGTTGTTTTGAGCACTTTGAACAACTACTCGAAGTTTCAACGGTCAACCAACCATCAACATCTCGGCATGATCCGCCAAGGGTGAGGCGCGTTACTCGCGTCAACACTGAAGCTCCATCATTGCAGGAGATAGAAGCAGCCATCCGAAGTATGAAGTTCAACAAAGCCCCAGGGGTCGATCGCATGTCAGCAGAGATGCTCAAAGCTGACGCCATGCTATCCTCACAAATTTTGCATCAACTATTCGTCAATATCTAGAACACCCCGACTTTTCTGACTGACTGGATGCAGGGCATCTTGGTAAAAGTCCCCAAGAAGAGGGATCCAACTGTATGCGACAACTGGCGAGGCATCATGTTACTGTGTATTGCTCTCAAAGCTATGTATAAAGTTATCCTCAATCGGATACAGGAGAAGATCGACGCGACTCTCCGACGACAGCAGGCAGCATTCCAAGAGTCCCTGTCAGTCAATGGGTTCCAAGAGTCCCTGTACTTAGTATTCATTGACTACAAAAAAAGCTTTCGACCGACTAAACCACGAAAACTTGTGGGGCGCTCTGAGACGCAAGGAAGTCCCTGATAAGAGCGTCAACCTCATCGAAGTGCAGTACGAGGCTTTCTCATGCAGAGTGTTGCACAACGGAGCTTTGTCTGACCCGATTCGGGTAATCGCGGGTGTGAGGCAAGGGTGTATATTATCACCGCTACTGTTCCTCATCGTAATCGACGAGATCATGGTTGGAGCCGGTGACCGTGTGCCGAACCATGGATTGCTGTGGCAGCCTATTACTATGGAGCATCTCAACGACTTCGATTTGGCTGATGATGTTGCGATATTAGTAAGCTCGACGACCTTGTGGAACGCTCCTCTGAAGCAGGTCTAACCATCAACGTCAACAAGACCAAATCGTTGGATGTCAACACGGAAAACCGTTCCAATTTCACGGTAGCTGAGCAGGCACTGGAGAAAATCGAAAGCTTCCAATATCTTTAATTTGTTTTCGGGCGTCTGGAAAAAAAAATAACATGCCGCACAAAGTAAAAATTTAAATGATGGTTCCAGTGATGCAAAATATCATGACACTCACTCGACACTCGTCAACGCATCAACCGACTATCGCTGACAGACGATTTGTCACGCAGTGAGAGGTCATGGCAAACAACAATCGCCAGTAATAGTCGCTGCTCACAGGCAAAACGTAACACTCGCTGCTGACGATGTAAAGTACAACGAAAACAGTGAAGACTTCTGCAGTACGATGATGAAAAAAGCGAAACGACAGAAGAAAAAGAAAACAATGCCCACGCATTCCAAGTTCGTCTCGGCACTCACGACTGTGTGAGTTACAATAAAAGCTGGCAAAATTAAACGAAAGCTATTGGGCTCACTCACCAACATACTCATATAAACAAGCAAAGCAGCAACTGGTTCAAAACGAGCACAGATGATTGTCGGGAATGACCAGATCGGTGATGGATCACCACAGAAGACGACATTCACCAATTGCTTCGTACTTCTTTCGTCAACTTGATGGATGGTCATGGAGAGTACCGTTCCGATTCAAATTTCGGACGATTCAAATTTCGGACACTTTCATTTTTAATTAAATATTACATCCAGTTAGAAACAAAGTAATAATGTTAGATGATCGTGGAGGGCACTAGTCAAAAAAATTTAAAATTTACAAGACATGTGGATCATATTCGACCGAGATAATCAACTTTTAAAAGTGTCCGAAATTCGAGTTTAAGTGTCCGAAATTTGAATCGGCACGGTACTTCTACAAGCACATTGATAGGAATGCACCAAGCGTGATAGGTCGCAACTCTGGATGGTTCATAAAATCTCGTGGCGAAATCTAGAGGGGGAGGGGGTGAATGGTAATGGATGTTGTAAAATTAGCTATTATGCTTGCTATTATTTACCAGCAGTAAAAACATTTTTTTTTTTCCAAAGAAGCAGCTGGGGACGTTTAGATTGAGAAACGCTTCTCTGGAGAATAACTGCTGATTTTTTCAATTCGTTTGGTGAGGTTTACCAGTATTAGAAGTTTTAGCGTTAGCGTTAGCGTTAGCGTTGTTATGATATACTTCGTAGATTGGATACTAGCGACACTCACGTCTCTTCTGAAATTCTCAGTTAGACTACTTTCAGGAATAATGCTGAGGAGTAAACATTGGTTCCAATCTAAACAAGAGTAACAGAAGCATGACTGTCGTTATTCCCGGCCACGCCCATCTTTACCATAACTAGGGATAGGGAAGGAAATGTTGATGTAGTACTTACTTAACGAGAGGCCACCGACTTAGCGACACCCTCATAAGTGCTACGGAGTTGGAGGGTTGGGTAGGGTATTCGGTTAGGATTCACCTCAAGTTGGCGATGCAACCAAAAGTATGTATTGTTTATTTGTTATTTATTTAATCTATCGAAAGAACATATTAATTTTGTTTAGTGATAATGAATTTTAAGAGTAATGACGGAGAGCTTGGGATTAAACCCATGATTTTCTGCTCAGTAAGCAAACACGATTCCTCCAGGGTCATCGAGCATCTCAGAACCATAACGCTTCGCGACAATACAGGACTACGTTTTCGCTTGATATGCAAATAGCTTCCGAGGTTAGTGTTCAATATCAAATATATAAATGATGGTGGCGATTCATTGTGCTGTGGAAGAGCTTGGGGTTAAATCCATGATTTTCTGCTCAGTAAGCAAAATCGATCCCTCGAGGGTCATCGAGCATCTTATAATCCACAGCGCTTCGCGTCAAAGTACGAATATATGGATGAACTATCTATTATTGAATAACTATTATTTACGATAATTACATGAAATAAATAAAATATAAACTACAAACAAAACGTGACTACTAAAATCTCAAAAAGATATTCTCACAAATATATTTCACGCAACCAGGAATTTCAAAACCATTAGACGCTATAATGATAATCTGCACATGTTAGACACAAGAAGAGGCCAAAAAGCAAGCGTCCGACACACAAAACCCGCCAGATCCACTTGCAGTCACAATCAACGATTCTACGAATCGCGAGCGCTCACGAATCATAAAACCGCTGACTGCGACACTCTGAAAGCGAAATTGACAGGCTCTATGCGTCAAACACCCGCCCTCCAATCTCCCCCCGCATCTAACAACACAAATCTCCATTACAATATCTAACGAATTCAAAACTCCGAAAATCACTCATCTATAGCAAGTGAGTGGAAGCAACCCTGCATGCAACCATTCTTCATGATACACTTTTTCTGTCTATCTTTCTATTAGGCCTGTGGACATGCGTTAGCTTCGAAACTTCTTACCAATCTGGGTAAATTTTCAGATCACAAAAAAAAACTTGAAAAAAAAACTTTCAAAGGTAATTACAAGTAAAATAAATATTGATTATTTTACGCAAAACCGAGCAAGTAATATTAAATCTCTTGTATGATATGCTAATGCAAATTGACTGTAACAAAAATAATATGCTTAAATAAAATAAAATATTAATAAAATGATATGCAATATTTACTAGAAGATCATTACTTTATTGGTGAGAAGTTTCTAATAAGCCCTCCCAGTTCCTCTGTATACAGAACAAATCTGATACTACAATCAGAATTGCTCAGTCTGCATGAAGCAGCCGATTTCATCAAGAAAGTTCTATTAACAACCAAGAATTAATCGTTTGAGGCATACTGAAGCATTAAGAAGGTGATATGTGTCACTATAGGAAATCATCATCGTTGCAAATATAAAGAAATTAAACATAACCCTTTGCTTCAGTACCGTCAACCTCCATGTCCATGGGGAGGGTTTACCAGTATTAGAAGTTTTAAGCAGATAGTCTTAAAAATCAATTCTACATTAATAAATAGTACTATATCGATGCAGTGTCGTTTTTGTTTAGTTCCATGAAAAATAATCCTTTTTTTTTTATTCTATCAAATCCTCAACAGATTGCGGAGTTCGCACATCTCGTCGACAACCTCGAAGCAGCAGCAGCAGCAATCTGGAGAACGACAACGAATGGAGCAGCTTTTACAATAGATCTTCGACAGTTTCCTCAGAACAGCAACAATCCGATATGGACAACGATTCGGATGATGCAAACCGCAATCCAAAGATTATGCACGGAGTTCCTACGCTGGAAGGACAGTATCCCTGGCAGGTCTCGCTAGAGCTGATGCATCCCTCGTATGGATTCATCGGTCACTGGTGTGGAGGGGTTCTCATCGACCACAATTGGGTCCTTTCGGCGGCGCATTGTATTCACAAGTAACAATTATCGTATTATTTAGTTCCCGATTTACTACTTTACAACTTTGGAAACATTTTAGTGACCTATTCAATTTGCCACTACCACCGCTTTGGACTGTAGTACTGGGCGAGTACGATAGGTCGCAGGAATCTGGATATGAGCAGCGGATTTCCGTTGACAAGATTATCCTACACGACAAGTATCACAATTTCAAGCATGACCTTGGTATGTGGTAACGATGGAAGTCGGTTCAATCATGCCCCCCTCTGCATGGGGATGTTGCTGGTCCTTTCATAGCTTATTCTGTGGTATCGATATTCTTTCAAAACTTCTTTACGTCTATTTTCAGTGCTCATGAAGTTGAACAAACCGGCAAACATTGCACCAAATTCACGAGTTAAGAAAATCTGTCTGCCATTCGCCGACATCAAAGTCAATACCTTAGTCAACGATCCCCGGCCAGAACTAGACCGCTCAAAGTCGAAACCAAGCGCTGGGCCATTATTTTTCTATGACTATCTAGGCCGCCCACCGGATAAGGGTAGCGGAAGTTCTACAATGGAAGGTGATGGTAACATAAACGTTGATGGTGAAATGGAATCCAGCTTCCCTGAGCCACTCCCCGAGCGGGAAGACAATTACCTTCGGCGGTTACGACTCCTAGGGGAGCTACCCCGTCGACCTCGAACGGCACGAATCGTGGTGAGCACTCTGATACGAGAACACCTGCTGAACAGGGGAAATTCTACCAGGCCCAGGAGTATACCAAAATCAAACCGAAGGGGGCGTCGGCTATACCAGACGACCGATTTCAATGATGACAATGGAAATGACGACGAATACGATGACGATGAGCTGCGTCGAGGGACGCGTCACGGTGGAAAACGGCGACGAAACGATAAATTTGCCCATGGGGCCTTCTATCGGAATGACAACTACCGAAACGAGTACGGTGGAGAGCAGGACAATAGAGCAGGGATCAGTGCCATGCCCGATACGTCCCAGTATGTGGACTGCCTGGCAACAGGTTGGGGCAAATCGACTATCGATGATGAATTAACTGACATCCTGCTGCAGACTAAGGCCCCCATCCAGAGCAGTAAAAAGTATTGCATTTTGTTTCCGATGCTTTTGTTCTCGTCGCTTGCTTTTAACTGGAATCGAATGTCATCGATTCAACACGCTTTTTTTGCCAATTGCCATCGTGTTTTTTTGAACATCGTGCAATGCAACTTGTTCACTCTCTTTTAATTGCTATTTTTTTTCTGTGATGTTTATTCATTTAGATGCGAAGAAGCGTACGGAGATTTCATCAAACTGCATCGAGGCCATCTTTGCGCGGGAAACGTCGATGGGACTGGTGGCACTTGCGTGGTAACTATTTGTTTGAGAAATATTAAAGCTCATTTATTGACATTTTCTCACTGAAGTTGATCAAACTTGATGATTTAGAGGAAGTAAGAGTCGTATCAAGGTTTCCGTAAGTGAACCTGCGTAAGGATTGTATAATTCAATTGCTACTATTGATGTATTTGTATTATTAATTTCAAATCATTTTTTTTTAATCACGCGGTGGGAATAAGTCACTAATAATAACAGAATTGGTGATTGGTCCATTCAATTTTCGAGTGATTTGGGTAAGAATCCCATTATTATTATTATAATTTATTTACGACACTTTACCACATTATTGTGTGGCATTCGTGTCAGGATAATTAATACTACACTAGATTACTCTACCTAATCAGATTTCATTGAACAAGTTGCTATCCCTTAGAAATTTTAATATTGCTTCTTCTTTGTCGGTAGTGTTAGCTAGTACATATCATGCATAGTGATCCATTGATACCGCAAGATTTCCTAGTTTGTGCATATCCTCTGCATTCCACTAGTATATGGTGAACTGATATCTGCACTCCGCAGAACCTACATACAGGTGGGGGGTTGTGGTTCATCAAATGTGAGTTGGTAAGCCGGGTATGTCCTATTCTAATTCGAGTTAGGACTCGTTGTTCTGAGGTGCATTTTCGATCGTTGTATCTATCAGGTGTTGACTTAATTCGTTGCAATTGGGCCTGACTTTGATGCCATTCCAATCCCCTTACTGCCCAAATCCTACTTTTTATCGCATGTACAACATCTTGGGATGGTACCGGAATTTCGAGTTGCGGTTGGCTTCGTCCTTGTTCGACCAGTTCGTCAGCTGTTTTGTTGCCAGCGATACCGGAATGGCCAGGGATCCAGCTAAACGTAATGTCTCGTTCCTATATGTTTTTTTTTTTTTTTTCGATGAACTGTATCCATGGGTGATTGGACCGACCACCTAGTGCATCGAGGCAACTAGCAGAATCGGTTAGGGGTTTTTTCTTGGTCTTGGATATTCGATACAGCTGTTTTTAGGGCAAATGCATCGGCTGAGAATACGCTGCATATGTCAGGCAAGCCGAAACTAACGTTTGTGTTTACACAACTATTCCATACTGGTGCATACCACTCTCTATCGGCAGTTCTTAGAATTCTGCATACATCTGGGAAAAATGCGGTTGTTTCAAGAAGAAGGTTTTTTATTTTTTTTTGTCAAAGGATACTCGGGTTCTTCATGGATTTTTTTTTTCCCGTTAGTCGGACAGTTAGCTGACATAAACGTTGGATAAGTGAAATACGGAAGGGGAGACAACTAGCCTCAGCCATTATAGAAATGATGGGGCTAGTTGGAAATGCACCAGATGCCTGGCGAACTACGTCATTGTAAGTGGGCCCTAGGATTCGTTCTATTGCTTCGATGTTGGCGCTCGTGATTCCCAGGCCATAAAAAAGTTTCGATAAGACCAGTGCTGATCTTATTCTAAGCAGAGTTGATCGATTACTCCTTTTGAGGCGATGTCCGAGTATTCGTAGAATGTTGATTCTCCTGCGACGGCTTTGTTTAGTGGCTACAAAGTGCCTTAAAAATTTAATTTAGAGTCGAGGAGGACCCCAGAAATTGTCATACTTCTCACTAGTGGGATTGGAGTTCTGTTGATTTTTATAGCCCGACCGCGTTTTCGGTGGCGAAGGTGGCAGGTGTTTGGATTTGCTTGGAGCGAGGGCAAGGCCAACAGTAGTTACCCACTCAACAGCTTGTTACAAAAAAATTCGAGATGATGCCGACAAAATGCGCCACCAATTTCTTCAAGTGTATCCCGTTTATGGTAACCAATTACCCAACTCATCATCTGTTATGCATCCTCTCTCACGGCGTTATCAAATAGGGGAAAAGTTGACTTCGGAAATACCTTAACCTATTATTGTCAGGGGGGTAAACAAAGTCCTAGAGCACTTAAATTTGGCCAATAGTTGCTCTGAAACACAATGTATCCACATGCTAAAATTGAGCTCTCAAGGACGTTGTTTACCCCCCTGACGATAATAGGTTAAGGCATTGCCGAAGCCAACTTTTCCCCTACATCGATAGGAAGAGATCGGCTCCTGTCCACACAGCCGTTTTGCAAGAACAAATACCCGTAGTAGACAATGGGAGGGGTATTGTTGTTAAAGCACTACTATCGTGTGGTTGGCGTCAAAAGTGCTGGCGAAATAATTTCGGTGATTGCTGAAAGTGCGTGGCGATAGATCAAGTTCCCGTGAAGGAGGACCACACACCTGATTGACAGAAGGAGTAATTAGCGTGATCTGTCTCTCAAGGATAGTTGCATGCACCCTCCCTCATGATCAGACCGCCATTCCTGAAGCAATAAGAGGATGACTCCATACATCACAATCATAAATGGACGCAGGAGCTCGTATCATCGCCATTAGTGCTCAATAAACGCATGTGCTGGTCAGGAAAGACCGTGAGCTACGTACAATACGAAAGGCCTTCTAAAAAGGGCCTTTTATTGACAGCTTCGGCCCATACGATATCCGTGGCGATTCTCTGTCGTCGTGGAAGACTGCAGGAGACCAGAATAGCGGTATCGAGACGACAGAAGAGCGGTTAAACCGCATCGCACAGAGGAACTCGCAATACGTGGTCGTGGGTAGTGCATTGCGACTGCCGTCGCTTGCGACCGATTAGCTGTTGGAGAGCACCGGAACGTGCGAAATTCGTGCAACAGTGAGTTGTTACGCGACAATTGGTGGTACACGACAACATCACGCGACGGTGCAGCAGCGCAAGCAACGCCACGACATGGATGTTGCGCAACAGTCAACAGTGCGACGAGTGACATCGGTGGCAGAAGTGCACTTGCATCATCATCACGGGGCCCCCACCGCTGGTGCAAAGTAGAAATGCTTTTGTGAGAGGAGAAAATCGTATGTATGGTTAAAGAATAGACGTAAGCTTACTGTGCAATCCGTTACTATTATTTAGCAGCACACCCCACCTTCCTCTATCTTTTGTCATTGAGTTATGTTTGATGAATGAAGACTTTACGTTCTTCTTATGTGGTACCGATGCGCTATTGAATTGACCCTATTTGCGTTCAGTATTATCGATAACTTAATTATCCGACAATAATCCAAGTTACAAGGAAATTGTCACAAGCTGCTACATCAGCTTTTCTAAGAACCGTACGAATAGTTTCATGCTTGGTTCCTCTTGCTATGAGAATGAAATCGTCTGCGTATAGGAGGATTTCAACTCCACTTGGTGTGACATTGAAAATTGGCTGCATAGCTACGATTAACAGAGTTACAGAAAGGATTTAGCCTTGTGGCACTCCGTTTTAGCTTTTCTGATACTTGAGAGTGATCCGTTGGCAGCTACTTGAAAGTATCTGTCAGTAAGGAAACTGGACAGAATATTCATCATTCGTCCAGAAATTCTCCATCCTGCTAAGGTACATAATATTTTGGGTCTGTATGTTGAATCGTAGGCCTTCGATATATCGTTTTCTTCAAGGCTGATAAGGAACTCAAGCTTGGCGAGGTGTTAGTCGACGCCCTTGCCGGCACGAAAGGCATGTTGGCGTGGGTTCAATTTGCCTGTTGCCTCTTTGCACTTTGAAATGCTGTATTTAAACTGAATGGATTGTTCATTGCCGTCTTAAAACCATCATAAATCAGATTGGATGCCAAATGGCTCCTGAATTGTTACTTCGGTAAGCATGGTCATGATTGATCGCTCACGGATGCTACTCCGTTATTGCCAAATCAGCTGTAATTACACATAGAACCAACAGGGACTATCAATCATCCTCAATGTGTTAAAATTGGTGCTCTAAAATAAAGCAATACCAGTGCCGGCAGCGTCTGAATGTAGGTCAAGAAAGGATTGGGTCTTGACCTCTGCACGTCCACGAGAAATCGCTGGGATGTTGGATAAAATGGTTAAGTATACAAAGAAAAGAGGCAACTAACGAGGGTTGAATGTGGAGCTCTTTATATCAGAACAAGCCGTGGCAACCCACGATCTGTCAAATCGGGAGACATGAGCTACTAAAAGCACTTATCCATTCACTAAGTTTTACTTTTACGCTTACCTTACCTTACCAATCAGGCTAAGGCCTTGCTGTCCTCTGCTGTCCGGAGAAGTCGTCTCCACTCTACTCGATCCATGGCCACACTTCGCGCCAGCCTCGTAGTCTACGAAGGGTCCGCAGGTCGCCTTCTACTTGGTCGATCCACCTTGCCCGCTGCGCGCCTCTTCTTCTTGTTCCTGTCGGGTCGCTTTCTAGAACCATTTTCACTGGGTCGTCGTGCGACATTCTTACGACGTGCCCAGCCCACCGTAGTCTTCCAATTTTTGCAATGTGGACGATGGATGGTTCTCCCAGCAGCTGGTGCAATTTGTGGTTCATTCGTCTCCTCCACGTTCCGTCATCCATCTGCAATACCTTCCGTTCAAAAACACCAAGAGCGTTGGTCCTCCACGGGCATAGTCCAGGTCTCGTGGCCGTAGATGACCACCGGTCTAATCAGCGTCTAGTAGACAGTCAACTTCGTGCGGCGGTGAATTTTATTCGACCGGAGTCCTAAGTAGACATGATTTCTTGCCATAATGCTTCTTTGAATTTCTCTGCTTGTATCATTTTCAGCGGTCACGTGTGAGCCCAAATACACGAACTCATCGACCACCTCGATTTCGTCACCGTCAATATGAACTCGGGTGGGAGGCTAACATTGTCTTCCCTAGAACCTCTTCCTTTCATGTATTTTGTCTTTGATGTGTTGAGGGCAAGTCCAACCCACCTAGCTTCAGCCTTCAGTCTGATGTGCGTTTCCACCATCGTCTCAAAATTCCGTGCCAAGATGTCGATTAGAATTTAGGAGAGTACCTTGTAGGCAGTGTGATCGCGCGGTAGTTGCAGCAATCCAACTTGTCGCCGTTTTTGTAGATTGGGCATACGACACCTTCCATCCACTCCTCCGGTAATATCTCCTCCTCCCAAATCTTGGCAATTGCCCAGTGCAGCGCTCTAGCCAGTGAATAGCTCACTTGGTAGTTGATCTACACCAGTTGCTTTGTTGTTCTTCAGCCGACCGATCTCCTCCTCAACTTCTTGAAGATCAGGACCCGGTAGCCTGTCGTTTTCTGTGCGTGCTCCAAGGTCTGTTGCCGTGTCACCTTCGTTTTCTGCTGCTTCACCGTTGAGGAGCTCGTCATAGTACCAACAATCAATACGAAACTAACGATTTTAAATTGGCTCACTACTTGACTAGCCTATTGGTCCCAAGCAAATCGACTAACGTACCCCATTGTAGTCGAAGTTCTAGTACTACACTTTTTTTTATTAGCTATGAAAGTTTGACAGATAAAATGAGGGGTTCGTGGATTTTCCCATGTTTCGAGGGGTGAATCGATTAGCTTGGGACCAAAAATAGTACCGAAGCGGAGCCAAAAAGTTGAGAACGTTTCTTCGGGACCTTCTAGTCTTAGAGTTACCTCAATGATAGTACCATAGAGGTAACTCTAAGACTAGAAGGTCCCGAAATAACGTGCTCAACTTTTTGGCTCAGCTCTGGTACTCTCTTCGGTCCCAAGCTAATCGATTTACCCCTCGTAACATAGGAAAAACCAATAACCCCTCATTTTATCTGTCAAACTTTCATAGCGAATCAAAACAAACATTGCGTAGTACTAGAATTTCGACTAGAATGGGATACGTTAACCGTTTGCTTGGGACCAATAGGCTAGTCAAGTAGTGAGCCAATTTAAAATCGTTAGTTTCGTATTGATTGTTGATAGTACTGCTTCCACCTCTCAATCACCTCGCACTCGTTCGTGAGAAGGTTTCCGTCCAAGTCCTTGCACATATCGGCTTGCGGCACGTAGCCTTTGCGTGAACTATTTAGCTTCTCGCAGAACTTCCGTGTGTCTACAGATTTTCCATCGCCTCGCGATCTCGATCTTCCTGCTGATGCTTCTTCCTTCGGAAACCCGATTTTGTCTGTTCCGCGCTTGTCTGTATTCCTCCTTATTCAATCTCGTATGGTATTGCAGCATTATTCTCCTCTACTAACAGTTTGCATTCGCCGTCAAAACAGTAAATTCGTCGGTCCGGGACCGCAGTACCTAACTAGTGCCGCTACAGCTGTACTACCTATGGCGGAACGGATATCCCTCCAGCCATCTTCAAGAGAAGCTGCACCAAGTTGCTCTTCCGTGGGTAGTGCAACTTCTAGCTGCTACGCGTAGTCCTGGGCAACACTGGCGTTCCGTAATTGCTTAATGTTGGGTCGCGGCGTTCGACTTCTACGGGTGTTTTGCACCGTCGATAGTTTTGAGCGCATGAATACTGCAACTGGGTAGTGGTCCGAATCTATGTTCGCACTGCGGTACGTGTGGACGTTGATAATGTCGGAGAAGAATTTCCCGTCTATTAGAACGTAATCGATTTGGTTTTCTGTGTGTTGATCAGTACCTTTTTCCCCCGCTAGGATATCCACAAGGCCTAGCGGGGGAAAAAGGTACTTTGAAATACCATACCCCGAGAAGCTGCAAAGTTCACGCATCGTTGGCCGTTGATACGGCATGCAGGCTGTTTGGCCCGATTGCCGGTCTATACATTGCCTCCCGTCCTACCTGAGCGTTCATGTCGCCGATGACGATTTTGACGGCCCGTTGCGAACAGCCGTCGTACACCTGCTCCAGCTGCGCATAGAACGCTTCACAGCCCTTAATCCTCAACTTGCACATCATCGCGTTGATTGGCTGCCAACCAATCACGCGTTGGCGCATCTTACCCAGCACTACAAAGCCGGTCCTCAGCCCGTTGGTGGTGCCACAGCTCTGGTAGAAAGTAGCCACTCGATGTCCGCTTTTCCATACCTTTTGTCTCGGCCAGCAAAGTTCCTGCAGTGCTACGACTTCGAAGTTCGTCATAGGTAAACCTATCGCAGCCTGGGAAGCCGAGCGATTTGCAGTTCCATGTTCCCGTGGGCCATCTGGTGACCAATTGGAGTCAATGACGAGTTGGTATTTCATAAATCACCATTGGCCTGCATTCCGTATAGACGAGTGCACGGATGGATTTGAGTTCACTCACTCGACAAAAAGTGACATAACAGCGGGGCCATGTTTACTAGAAATGAACATATATGTGTTCATTTTTAGTAAACAGGGCCCCGCTGTTGTGTCACCTTTTGTCGAGTGAGTGAACTCAAATCCATCCGTGCACTCGTCTATGGTAACATACATAAATCAAGGCATACTTTGATCCAATATTCATCACAATAATTTTAACGGATGTTCCAGTTCTTCCGGTGGGACATCTGGTGACAATATGTATTCTAATTTTTATGAGTTCATTAATTTAATCAAGTTTCACTAAGCAGGAAATTCAAAACATATACATAGGACTGGAATCATAGGTTACTTCTAATGTATTTTACATCAATATCTAGAAAAATGCACGAGAATTTCACTAAACAGCTTAACGTAGTCTACATTAACCATACGGTTGTGTCTTTTTAAATCCTATTTGGCCTGGAACCCAGAAGAATCATAATACATATCTCTTTCAGTTAATCATAAAAGACAACAAATCATGATTAAACCCTATTCAAACTGGCTATTCATGAACCACATTCAATTGTATAAGCGAGAATAATCCAAACGATAGATTTATATTGATCGTGAACTTAAAAATGATTATGTCAACTCAATGAATGAAAAAAAAAACATCTCAATTTTGTTCAAGATGCGAATTGTTCCAAACATAAACTTCAAATATTGTTTCCGCTAAACAGTAACCGATCTTTTTTTTTTCTTTTTAGGGCGACTCTGGTGGCCCGTTGCAGTGCCGCATCACCAAACATGGACCGTGGATACTGGTTGGGATCACTTCATTCGGATCCGGTTGTGCCTTCAAGAACTACCCGGACGTGTACACCAAGATCGCATTCTATCGTCAGTGGATAATGGACACGATATCAAACAACTAACTGGAAATGAAGAGACGTGGCGTTTCCTGTTGAATTAGAAGTTACTATAGCTGTTACCACCTGCTTTGGAAAACCAAATATTGTGATATTAATATTTAGTCGTAAGGGCAAATCGCACTGGGAAAATGTCAAATTGGTTGGAGAATATTCCAAGAAACAATTTTGGATTTACGATGCTTCCGCAGACCATAATCTAGACTTATAGCGTGCTTTAAAACCTCGATAAGACTTGTAATGTTACTTGGGATCGATGTGAGCTGCATCATAAGCTCATTTTTATGTTGAATTTCAAATCAAACAAATGTGTTCTGCTTCTTTGAAAAAGCCTATAACCACTACATATATTCACCCAAAATTGACGATGTTTTTTTTATGGAGCAATACGATTCATTGTATTGAGTGAAAAGGGTCATATCTGTGAATTGAATGTAGGGAACGCTCCAGCTCTAAAGTTTTTTCTTCCATGCAATGGATCAGTGATGGAGCATGGTTCTCCATTTCCCAGATAAGATCCCTTTTCTCCTCTAGATAGAGCTGGAATTAGGGCGTAACAGCCTTTGTAAACAATGAATTCTCACGTTGATTTCTCGAAATTCAAGGCATGCCTACGCAAATCAACATTTCTATCGAGTAAGAGAAGTCTTCCTCTACTCGATGGTGATGTCGACTTGCCAAGGAGAGCCATGACTTCCGGAAAAATCATCGAGAGAACTCATTGTTTACAAACTCTTTTACGCCCTAATTCCAGCTCTACCTAGAAATGTTCCAAACATGCACATCGTCAATTTTGGGGTGTTCAAAACATGCATATTGTGTCAGCACCGAATGAAATAGTGAACCTAATACTATAAGTACTCTTTAATACTCCAAGCACCGAGGTATCAGGCTGTGAAGTCGGTCTCCAGTTTCAATTTGCTGCTGTATTTATTTGAACTGATTTTTTTTTTCATTGCTGCACCAAATGCGTTTACTGCCCGTGGATGGGAGCAGCTTGTTTTCTCCATTGACAGCATACATTTTTCCGCACTTCCTCTTCTCCTGCCACCACTGTGTTCAGCCCGTTTGGGGCTCCTTTATTTCCTCCCAGTGGGGTTTTGCCTCCTCGTACCATTTTTTGTTGTTGTTGATTTTGTTAGGGTTTTTGTTTTTTTTTTTTCATTCCGTTATTGTTTGTTATTACTGTTTGTTAAACGTACGTAGTTATATTTATTTTTATGGTATTTTGTATCCCCCGAAATTGTTTTCGTTTTGTTGTATGTATTTATGTTGAATTTTATTAAAACCGCACTGATCGAGGGTGCTACCACTGCTCCATACGTATGTAGGTACACACAGATAGCGAACCCTTGAAATCCTACCAGCTGGCTTTTAGATTTCCCCTCGGGAAAGTACAGAAGTGTAATAACCACAGCTTTGGTTGATAATTTTTGCGGATTATAGTAGGTTTATGCTATGATTTCATTGCCATGATGCTCCCGGATGGGGAGAGTCAGTTTTTACTGTATACATGAAAACCAACAATGAAAGCAGCATCTGCATTGTAGTGTGTTGGTCATGGTTATCAATGAATTAAGCTGTTGTACAAATGCAAATAAATTTTGTTGTAAAGAAGTTTTTATTTAAATAAATGTGTAAATTAAATGGCTGATGTGATTTTATGATATCCGAAACCACAATTTTTGCTTTGTTTATTATTGTTTGTTTTTCATTTGTTTTCAACTCAGCTCAGAGGCAGGAACTGATCGTATTATTATAACCATATAACGTACAATGATCTGAAGCAACAATTAGTGCTAAGAATTTCACCTTGGATATTGGACATATTGTGACACTTCCAGGAGAAGGTTGTTTTTCATGATATAGAGGTCCATTTAAGGACTTCAAGTATTGCTCATTTTGTCCCAGATTAGATCCCCAGCAATATAATTTTGTCACACCACAAAATGTTCTCACCGCTTTCAACATAACTATATTGGATGGTTTCGATGCTACGAGTTTCAAGAGCGAGGATGCATTGCAGGGTGGCGTATTGAATAAAAGATTTGTTTACATGCCTTTGAAATTTGATGTGTGAACATATGTTATCTGCTAGCGGCGCTGGTGGTGTAATGGTAAGCGGGATTGCCTCCTCTCACTCCAAAGGGCCGTCATTTGATAATGAGAAAAGAAGCCCTCTCACTGTCACCAGACGAAACTATATATCATTAGCTTTCTTGTCATTTTTCAATGATCAAGCACAGTTTGGCGGATTCATGTCCTTTGGAACAAAATGGACAGAATTGGCCTCATACCACTCCAGGACACTTTTCGAATAGTGGCATGATGTCAAATCTGGCCAAAATAGCGGAGCTTCGTCGTGCTGCTGCAAGAACGGCAAAAGGCGCTTCTCGAGGCACTCAGATTTGTAGATCTCGCCATTTACTGTGCCCTTTGTCACGAAAGGCTCACTCCTCAGTCCGCAAGAGCAGATGGCCTGCCAAATGAGATATTTGGAGGCGAACTTCGACATTTTCTTCTTCTTAAATTTGTCGTCCACATCGAACTTGCTCTTGCCGGTGAAAAACTCCAACCCCGGAATTTGCTTAAAATCGGCTTTTATATACGTTTCGTCGTCCATCACACAGCAGCCATATTTTGTCAGCATCTTCTCGTAGAGCTTCCGTGCCCGAGTTTTAGCCGTCGATTGTTGCCGCTCATCGCGGTTTGGGAAGTTCTGTACCTTGTATGTATGTAGTCCAGCTCTCTTCTTTGCATTCTGGACGTAGCTCTGCGACATGCCGATCTTTTTAGCGAAATCACGGCTTGAGACGTTGGGATTTGCTTTAATCATCCGCTTCACCTTTCCCTCCGTCTTTTTGATCTCCGGTCCCGGTTTTCTTCCAGCTCCTTTGCCGTGGTCCAACGTCAACCGCTCCTGGAACCGCTTCAACACTCTGGAGACGGTTGAATGGTGAATGTTCAACATTTTTCCCAACTGCTGGTGCGACAGGTCAGGAAATTCCAGGTGTTTGAAAAGAATTTGTTCTCTCAACTCGCGTTGGTTCACCTCCATTTTCGTCGAAACGAAAAACACGACTTCGAGTTTGACAGCATGTACACAATACACATCAATGAGAAAGTGTGCAAAATTTGGTTGATTTTTACCCAATGGTATAAAAGTTATGCCCTGTTGAATGTGTCGCAATAATTTCGTGTTCGCCCTTTATTAAGGTTTCCTCGGTAGGGTAGAGAACTACTTCGGCCTAATCGTCCATTTTTGGCCTATCGAACAGAAAACTTCCAATAAATTCATGATTTCAGATTTAACAAGTGAATTATGCGTTTGGTGTGATACTTTAGTTAATAAGCTACGGAACGAGGTCAATGAGAACGCGTGATATGAAGGTTTGCACCCATTATTCCCAAAAACAAAAGAAGCGCTTCGACCGAATCAATTTTTATCTTCATCTGATAGGCCGAAGTGAGTTCATTGGCGTTTCAATGCGTTAGGCCGAGTTTAGAATCCGTAGGCCGAGTTTGGCGTCAAGAAGCAGTGTTAGACTTTTAACATCATCTCAACGATTGTTTTCTCTTTACCAAATCTTTCGGTTCATACTGAAAGGTAAATAAATTTGGAAGCCATCAGTAATAATAACATTTCGTTTGGTGCTAAACTGCGCTGGATTAAGAAAGACTAAGTGCGGGTTGTGCTTCATAGGCCGGAAATGGGATAGTTAACCTTACTTGTTGACCTTTTAATTACTATGATCTTAAAACTGTCACGTTCTGCCGTGAAAAAAAAATTGATGAGATTTTGAAAAAATCTCTATCATCGTTTTCTCGTGCGATGATAGTGAGTGAAGTATATCTGTAAATATCGCGTGAGATTTTTCATTGAAAATGACATTTGCCAGCCCAATCGGTGCCGTCGGTATTTTGTCAAAGGAAGGAAAACAAATCATGGAAAAAAATATCATCTTCACAGTAACTCGCAACAACTCAAAATTGAGTCGAACATGCTCATTTCAGCTACTCAATAGTGAGTAGACGCACTTTTACTCACTTTTGAGTAAACAAAGTTCTTGCGCAGAGTGAGTCAAAACCACTCTGTGATATTTTCAGCCGAAAAGTTTGTTTTTGTTTTGTTTTGATAAGAAATTGAAATTACCTGCTCCAGATTCATTAACTGGAGCTGAAGACAACTGAAAACCGTCTCCGCACGCAATTCATACTTACCTTTAAACCTTTCGGCCGGTGTTATACAATAATTTCGCCGTTTCTTATAGCGAATTTGTTTATTATCGGGGTTGGAACCAGTTCCAACCCAGTGCGAAACCGAACTTTTTGCCAGTGCGAACCTCAACCTGAGTTAGGTTTTAAAAACAAACGATCAAATTGACGTTTGACAGAAAACAAGCAGACCCGATCTTGATACCCGATCCAGGTTGGAACTGAATAATAAACAAATTCGCTATTAGGCTGTGAACCATTTGCCAAGTTAAATTTAACTCGTGGTTAAAAGTGACATTTCGAAAGTTATTTTCTATGTTCGAAAATCGACCGGTTTTCAACCCACGTTTATCAAAATTTAACTTTTTGTCTGTCAGAAATAACAAAGCTCGGATAGCAGGGTTCATCGATAACTTTCCATCTGTCAAATTTTAACTAAAAGTTAAAATAATCCACCAAATGGTTCAGAGCCTTAGAGCGTTGGCTCCGACACGGCTGGTATTTTTTTTTAAGTCCTGCACGATAACTTCAGTTTACTCACCGGGTGAGTCGATCGTACTCACTTTCGTCCGATGTATCGAGTTGTCAAAAACTAAGTAAACGAGAAATGTCAAGCTGAGTAAAAGCCACTCAGTCAGCAAAATCCTGGACTTAGAAAAAAAGTCAACCATGTTGGAGGAAACGTCATAGAAAACGGGTGAATGTTTCACTCAAAACGGGTGGAAATTCCTGCAGGTAAGTAGAAATTGCTTAGGGCAATAGTGTTGAACCATTTTCTGCTCCGGTCAAGGGGTGGTCACTCTACACACTTATTTTGCGCCAACATTTTTCTCAGTGTACCTCAGTGTGCCGCAACTGTATCGGCAGTGCCATGAAGTAGAAGAAAAGTCATTGAACTGACTTTTGTTTGCTTGTGAATAATG